CAACCTTTTTTGTACCAGAACCCATTTGTAAACATTGATTGCTGGTCCTGACTCAGTGCCTCTCACTCCTGACCCACTGCACCTTGCCCCTAAGCCCCAGCCCCACAGTATGGGACAGAGGGGTGTGGGCATGGGGGGGGCATAAGCAGCCCCTTGGAGGCTGGAACTCTTTCAGCCTGCAAGGAAAAAGCCAGTTTCCCACGTTTTTCTCCTTTAAAAGAGAATTCATTTGTAAAGTTTGTTTGATCCATATTTAAAGTTGGTCTATGACCCTTTCATATATTCTTGCAACCCATTTTTGGGTCGTGACTCACAGGTTGAGAAATGCTGTCCTAAAGGATCTTGAAAGTTATGGGGTTAGACATATTGCCTTTAACCCTAATAGGAATTTTACCATGACTCTAATGGAAACAGCATTAGGTCCCAGAAGATCCAGTTTCACCAAATTAGTGTAAGATAACCGATGCCTATGTGAAAAGTTTTGAAACTGCTCTGATGTGGCTGTTGTCTACTGTGACCTTGTTTCTCTCTGTATTCAAGGAAGTTATATTTAGGTTGTTGCATAAGAACAAATGACTAATTTGACTGTTATTTGTCCAATCAGAATCTGGCTCAGGAAGTGTTGTTTCTAGATTCCTAGAGATATGACTGTGCTGAACAGTACCTTGGGCTAATGCCATCTCCCAGTTATGTTGGTGTAAATTAAGAGTAACTCCGTGGATTTCCATGTAATTGATTGGAAACTCGCCCTTTTCCATTACAGAGATGATGGGTAAAATTTAAATAAAACACTACAGTGTTTTGATAAAGAGAATATAATAACCCTGCCCAAGACCCTCTTTAAAATGACCTGTATTTACATTATTTGTGCAATAAAAATATAAATAGCTTCTCTATCTCCCTTGTGATGGTTGAAGCTAATCTTCATTGATGTGCACAGATTCCAAGCTATTGTGTGAAGGGACAGCACAGCAGGGAGCTGCAATAGATGAGCTAGAAAAAAGGTGTGATCTATGCTGTTAAAACTGAGGCTGGATGGTAAAAGTGAGGTAGATGCTAATCTGGGACCTAGAAGAGCAGGGTTCAATTCCTGTCTTTTATTACTGGCCACAAACTGCATTCTCTTTCTACCCCTCTCTTTTGGTCATGTGAATAATGTCTCAAAATGTGCATTTCACATTAAAATTAAACCAATACATAATGTGTACAGCTGTCCACATTTTCAGAACCAACAGGGAGACCAGTTTAAGGGCCCACTTCCAAGGGTCCAATTTTTCAGGTGGTAGGTTGGTAACACTTCTGGAAAACTGAGAGCCTTTAAGGTCTTTCAGGTTGAGCACCAGAATCTCTAGTCCATACTGAAAATTTAGGCTGAATGTGCTGGTACATAGGAAGAACCTAGGTAATAAATGAGTACATGCTCTAAGAAGTTTTCTACTAATATTCTTTAAGATAATTTTGAATAACAGTGGTCATTTCTTAAGCAGAATTTTATAACAAAACTTGAAGGAAAGTAAACATTCTCTTTTTGTCATTTTTTTCCTCTGATTGTTTTATTTAGATGACAAAGCTCCTGTTACTGATACCAACATTCCTTCTCATCTGGAGCAGATGTTGGATATCCTAGTTCAAGAAGAAAATGAGAGGGAATCGGGAGAGACGGGGCCTTGTATGGAGTATTTGCTACATCACAAGATCTTAGAGACATTGTATACTCTAGGCAAAGCCGATGTAAGTTTTCTTCTAACAATGAAACTTCACGTTTGTAGGAAGTGATGCTTCAAGGCACTTAACATGTTTGTTGTTCATGAATTTAGTAAGTGTTGAGGATGCTCAGCTTCTGGCAAGATGGGACTTTGAGGCACTATGAAATTCTTGCACTTTGGTCTTTAGATAGTCTAAAAGAACAGAGAGAAATTTGAGCTAGGTGCTTGGGGTTCTCAAGTCTTCTTGTTTTCCCAACTCCAGTGGTACAAAAGGGATGTTAAGCTGCTTAGGGGTTCAGAGTTTCCCAAGCTGCTTTCTCCCTGCTCCTGTGTTAGGTATAGAGCTAAAATGCAAGTTGCTCTAGCTTGGAATTTTGACATGAGATAATCTGGCCCCAAATCTACTATAATACTTGTCAGGCTGGTTTAACATCCCCAGCAATTGGCAATGGGAAGATACAAAGTCACCTTTGCTATATGCTTAACTCACAGGTGTCTAGAACTATGCTGTGTTGCGCATGGCCATACAGCTCAATATATTTGACACTGCCTTTTCAGCTTCCCATAATTTAGGTTTGCAAGAGGCCAATTATTTTTAAGCGTAAAGAACTGATGGTTCCAGATTTGTAGTTAGATGATGATGATTGCATTAATTAACGCTTGTTACGTGTAGGAAGAAGCTTGTATCAGCAATAATTAAATTTGTCAGTAGTGAACTTTTATATATCTGGAGCAGTAGTATGAATCCAGCCCAGGTCAATAACAATAACCTTTTTGTGGTTCCTTTGTGACTTAACGTGAAATAGGTTTAGTAGTCTCCGTGTACTTCCCAGTACCAGCTGTCCACAAAAACCACTACCCCTCTGTTGACATTCTCCTTGATTGTCTTTTCAGTGGAAAGGCCAAGAAGTGAACAGATGATGAAATTAACTAGTAGTGTTACGCTTATGTCACAGTGCAAGTGCATTAGTTAGGCACCACTGCAGTCCCATGGCCTGTTCTGGGGAAATGGAGAACACTTTAGTCTCTGTGCTTGTCAGTCTTGCACCTTGCACAAATTCACACACATTCTTTGTTTTGTCTGCTTAAATGTTATGTATAGTTAGAGTATGTACTAGCTGTCCAATCCCAGAATACTGCAATGTCTTCCTTCTGAAATCACTTTTACCCATATCTCTGTTACTGGACTGTTCTGCGTCTTGGCTAATGAAGTGCCATAATGGATACCTTAATGGGCAGATTCATTAGCTCAGACATATAGTTGGGACAGTAGAGCAACACACTCTGTGAGAAAAATGTAACGTAGTTGAGATGTGCAAACTTCATAGTTGGCAAGATGCTTCTAAGAGTTGAGGGAAGTCATAACACTTAAAAGAGTAGGCCTGCACAAATGGTTCCTATACAGCATTTCATTTAGACTTCATGGCTCATGAATTGCATGTACGATGTTGCAGGTGACTCCAATTAAAGAATAATTCAATTCGTGATAAAGGTTTAGGTCATCGGCTAGCAAACTTTTATAGGCTACAGGCTAGAATGATGCAGTTTGGGTCAGAGGTGGAAGTGTGGGTGCCAAGGCCCAGCCATGGGTGGCATTTTCCTTGCAGCAGCATGGGAATAGTGACTGCTGCCAAAGCCCCCACTGCTGAATGCCGCTGAAGTCCTGCGCTTGCAGGCTGGATCAAATGGCTCCATGGCCAAAGGTTACTAACCCCTGATTTAGCCTTCTTCTTTTGTTCCACCATTAGGGTGCATCTCCACCAGGGGACTTTTAACTAATTGTTTACCGGCCAACTCAGATTAGTGGATATGTTAGTCTGGGCACTTTGAATGTTTGCTTTGGTCAGCAGTGTCAAAGCACCTGGATGAGAGCAACAGTGCTGGAAACGTAGCAGCTCCATGGGAAGAAGCCCAGCATAGCAGCTTTACTGCAGCCACTGCCATGCATCTAGGATGCTGGGCCTCTTCCCGCCCTGTCCTGAAAAAGGCATTGCATGTGCTGGATCCAGCACTGGGGGGAGGGCAGTCCATGAGCATGATTCATTTAGTGGGGTACGCCCCCATATCATTCATCCAGCCTGTGAACCAGTCTTGTACCCCCACAGGGCCAGGTGTGTTTGACACCTTTGCCGTAGGACAAATTGCAAGCATTTATTGAGATTACTGTACAAATTAATTAGTTTCCAGTCATGTGAACAGAGCTTAAAAATAACCTTACAGTTTAGGTAAACCCTTAGATGAGCTGCATATAAGTAGGGGTGGTATAACAGGGAACTGTAACCCTGTTACATGGCAAATAGGGCCAAGAAATAAAAATCAGCAAAGCCCCTTTACAGCCAGAACTTTTGTAGCCTGAAAGGGGGTGGTATCACCAGCAGCAGAAGCAAACCCAGCCAGAGCAGCCAGAGTGATAGAGGTCCAGCTTCTTGCTGCAGGTGAGAGCAGGAACCTTCTGAGGTGAGAAGACTGACACTGGGCTCTGGACTCTCACTTGCAGAGCCCAGTTTATAAACAGCTGGCTACCAAACACAGTAGCAAAAGGGGACGGGAGATTAGCAACACCTAGGCGAGAAGAACAGGAAGCCTGGCCAGCTGGGACTGACTGGGAAATAAACCAGTCCAGAGCAGAGAATGGAGTGGAACATATGGGAGGAAACAGTGCAGGGAGAAGAAAGCAAAGCAAGTTGGGTAGGGGAAAGGGATGGGGGTGGCACTTGGGGAGGGTGCAAAGCTAATTTATGGCATACCTGCCAAAAAGGTTGACTTCCATGGTGGCATCAGCCTAAATTTCCCTAAAACCCATTCCCCATGTTCTGTTATGTAACTGAAGCCGATTGATGTAAGCCCTAGGATATCACGCTGCCAAGTTTTGTGAAAACAATAGACTAATCGGGAGCTAGGGCAACTCCATCAAAGCTAGTGTACCTGTCCCACTTAATTCAGACATTGGCTTGCCACAATACAGACCACTGAAAATGTCTACGTTCACAACAGAAAATATTTAGACTTAGAGATGATATTTTCCATTGGTTTTGCACAACAATGTTAAAAATAATTTGTTCATTTATGATGAATTTATTCAAGTAATTTGGTTAAAAATATTCAAATTTAATGTGAACTTTTGTTAAGATCAGTTGATGCATTGTTTTTATTTCACGTTCATTGTGTTTCTCTTGTGCTGTAGTGTCCTCCAGGAATGAAACAGCAAGTTCTGGCTTTCTATACAAAACTTCTAGGGAGAATACGACAACCTCTTCTCCCACATATAAACGTACATAGACCAGTGCAGGTACTGTGCACATCAGAAATATATGCTTCATCTCTCATGTGACTTTTTTTTTTAAATTTAAACATAATAATCATTTTAACTGTCATATCTACTTGAATCTAAGATGACCCTAAATTTAAGATGCCCCCCAATAATTATAATTTATACATGGAAAATGTATAAATTTGTTATAATTGTTCACGTGTAGAATCTAATTATTGGAGGGTCATCTTTAATTCATCCCTCCCACCGCTGCAGGGGGCAGGCATGGGGGAGGCAGGTAATATGGGCTGGTCAGGGAGCTTGCCCCTTACTTGTGCCTGTCCCCCTGCTGCCTCTGCTCCCTGCTTTCCTCCCAAGCCTGCTCTGCACCAGCAGTCTTCCTCCCCATTCTATCCTGGGGCACTGAGCACAGCTCCAGCCTGGCTCTGGCTCTGGCTCTGGCTCTGGCCCTGGTCATGGTCATGCTTACTGCTCACCACTGCTATGGGGCCATGCTCAGTGCCCGAGGCTGCAGCATGAATGGAGCCTGCTGGTGCAGAGCAAGGGTAAACGGGAGAGGGAGAAGGGCAGGTGGGGGGAGCAGACGCTGCATGGAGGCGGTAGAGAGGGGAAGAGGCTGCAGGGGAGAGATGACAGGATGAAGAGGCAATTACACGGGGGTGGCGGGGCAGGCAGGCAGCAGCTGCAGCTATGGAGCCCAAGTCACAGCAGCCTCTGCCTCCCTCCCCCTGTTAAATGGGGGGGGGGGGGAAT